TTTTTTTTTTTTTTTTTTTTTTTTTTTTTTTTTTTTTTTTTTTTTTTATTTTTTTATTTATTTTTTTTTTTTTTTTTTTTTTTTTTTTTTTATTTTTTGGTTTAAAAAGGGAGCTCAGTGTTCTGTTATTTTATTAGATAATTAACCTACTTATATAGAAGTATTATATTTTGCATATTAGCAAGACCACAACTAGCCACATATACAACTTTAGTCATTGTCTATTTAAAGGTTCTATCTCTACTAATTGCTATATCTATAATCTGCTTGTGGGCTTTCTATTTAAGTCCTCTGATTTTTAATATTTTTTCTGCAATACTAGTCTAATTTTTAATGACAGGACCTTAAGCTACTTTATTCGTGAACTAAGCTTCTACTAAAATAGAAGTAGTTTCCACAACTACATCTTTAATTTAGGTTTCTTGTACCAAAGATATTTCTCATTTGGTAAGGCCAATTCTTTTTTACAGATCTTCTACATATTTGCTGCTTCTCTTACTATTTATAGTATCTATGCTCTATAGATTGATCTCTTTTTGAAAATTTCTAATCCAAACTTGTATTTACTTGAACTTGTATCACAGGACTTCGCATTCAATTTATAACTTCTTTTTGATTACAGAATATATTTCATCTCCAGTCAAACTTGAACTATTAATCTTGTCTATAGTAAGGTTAGAAACTCACCAAGTAAGCTATAGGACCTGAACTCTTATTTATTAATTTATTAATTTACAATATATGTTTTATTTTTATAATTCGGCTGCCTGCTGCTATTTATTTATAATCAAAACTATTTGACAAATTACAAGAATTTCTCTTCTAGCTATAAGATCTCTGTACAAATGGCTCACCAAGCTTATACCTAATGTGGCCTGCCTCAGCAGTCATTGGCCTCAATCTGGGTCCGAAACTACCTAAGGACTTTTTTCCTTCAATCCTCAGCTGGCGACTGCAAGCTATAAGCATTAATATTGGCTTTTTTATTAGTAGAGAAATACAAATACTAAATCAAAAGGAGTAAAAATAGAGAATAAACTCAACAACAAAATCAATCCACCTAAAGCAAATAAAACCAAAACAAATCAAAGAAACAAAAACAAAAGAAAAGAAAACAAAGATGACATTATTAAGCCTGTGCTGAACTAAAAACATTATATAGTACTACTAAATAAACTAATTTAATCTTTACATTAGTTATTTATGTCTATATCTAGGATGTAAGAATTAATCTGAACATCTATTCTTGAGTAAAGATCCAAGTTCAAAATTTTCAATCATGTAGCTCTATAAGACTTTTGCAACGTATTTACATACTTCCTATTTTAGGTTACGATCATACATTATTTATCCCAAAGCAGACACATACTCCTGTACATGACTTTTCTTTTTTAGCAATGATCCTTAGGTTGATCCTTTGATAGGATATATCGTTTTTCCTACTTTTTGGTAAAATTTCATGAAGTGCAAAGAGTAGTGTGTTGTAAAGGGTTTCGGTTAGGAGAGTCGCACTTATTACATAATATCATAGGAGGGAAAAGAGGCATCAAAGGTGTCTTATGTAGCACTACTCTAAAAATAGAACTATATATACCATTTTCTATTGGACAATAATCTATATTGATGTTTAATCTGTCCATTATCACGTGAGTTATTTGTGTTATATTATCTATAGTTTTTACTATATCAATATGAAATTATATAATCTGCTTAAATGAATAAATCAGGTTGTTCCTGTAAATATAATTACCTGACTTGTTCTTTTAAAAATTTATTGGCTAATTCGCTGATTTGTCATATGCATAATTTAACTGAACTATTTTGTATTACATGTTTCGTACTATGGAAAATTTTTAAAGCAAAATGTGAAAGATAAGTTTTTATTTTATCTAAAATTTTTTGTATTATTTATACAAAACTTACACCATACTTATATTTATAGTACAAGTGACATTTTTCGATAGAATCCAAGCAAATAAAAAATAAAAAATACCAGATAAAAATTTTACATAAAATATATTGAAGTCTAAATCAAAACAGCTACTACTTCTGTTTCACCCACTAAAGATTGATCTTGTCGACCAATTGAGCATGGTTCTTCTATAGACATATTATCTGAAAATGGTATATATAATACAGTTCTTTGTTCAAAATATCGAGTTAAATTATAAGTTAAAGATGTTACAGATCCTCTAAAATAATGATGAGAACTTACCTGTCATGCACTTGTTATCACTTGAAGATTATCAGATAAATTTTCACCTAGAACACTGTGATCTAATAATTGTTATTCATTAATAGTAATCCTTGATAATATTATAGCTGTTTTTATAATTCCTGGAATACCTGTAAAAAATTAGCCAAATGATTTTTGGCCGATCTAGTTAATTTATTATTTTGGCATAATAGATTCAATAAAAATTAGTATATACGCATGTACCAATTTTTATTGAATCTATTATGCCGAAATAATAAATTAACAAGATCAGCCAAAAATCATTTGGCTAATTTTTTACAGGTGTTCCAGAAATTATAAAAATAGCTGTAAGTTGATGATATTACAGTATTATTGGCTTGAAAAAATTCTTACTTTTTTCTGGAATGACCTGAGTGGGCAAAATGTCTGTGATTTGTAAGAAAAACATGGGTTGAGAAATATTTTTTGCATATATTATACATGAGTCGTGCATATTGTTCAGCATTAATTGATGGGCAATATTTATCATATCTCATTGATTTTGTTAGATCTAGGTACTATACTGTATATATCAGGTTTAAAAAATATTAGTCTTTGCTTTGAATTACCAGTAGAAGAAAACCATTTATCGGTTCAAGAAAAGATGCAACTTCAGATACCCCTTTTTGTGAACAATACTCTGAATTTGAACATTTCCTTATATCTAAAGAATACTTACATATTTGTGTATAGTTTTCAATCCAAGTCCACAGAACTGGTTTATCTATATTATTTTCTTGATTTTCATCTTCTTCACTTATTTCTTCA